GCTTATCAAGCGACTAAAATCAAACTTCTTCTATAAAAATTGATAACCGTCCTTCCTCACTACATCTCCAACAATGGCGGGCAGCAGTTCAGGGAGGCCGTCTCTCGGTGCACGTTCGGTATTTTGTATCACACCAAGAAAAGAGGACGAATCAACATTGTGGACGTCACCGACTCTTTATATGATGAGGAGCTGAAATATCTGTGTGATCACCTAGGTAAGAGGTCATCATATATGTGGCTGATTCATAACACAGACGGCTACATGGGCTGATGTTCCATCATGTATGATTCGGGTAGTAGGGTTCATCACTGCCCATCCCCCACACACAATCATGGCCAAACATCTTGTCCCCCCGGCATTTGTCAGCTAACGCCCCACTTCACCCAGAAAATTGCTGCAATGACAAATGTTCCGGCATTCTGGTGTCATTTCTTGTGTTTGTATTGTATGACACCAAAAAAGTGGAGAAACAACAAGCCAAATCTGACACCTTCCATGCAGAACTACAAAAATGGACCCCAAACATCCTACTACCCCAACTACTACACCTCCTACTACCCCAACTACTACACCTCCTACTACACCTCCTGCTGCACCTCCTACTACACCCCTACTACACCTCCTACCACCCCAACTACTACACCCCTACTACACCTCCTACAACCCCAACTACTACACCTCCTACTACACCTCCTACTACCCCAACTACTACTATTCCTACTACCCCAACTACTACTATTCCTACTACACCTCCTGCTACCCCAACTACTACTATTCCTACTACACCTCCTACTACCCCAACTACTACTATTCCTCTACTACACCTCCTACAACCCCAACTACTACACCTCCTACTACACCTCCTACAACCCCAAATACTACACCCTACTACTATTCCAACTACTACTATTTCCTACTACCCCAACTACTACTATTCCTACTACACCTCCTGCTACCCCAACTACTACTATTCCTACTACACCTCCTACTACCCCAACTACTACTATTCTTACTACACCTCCTACCACCCCAACTACTACACCTCCTACTATACCTCCTACTACTCCAACTACTACTATTCCTACTACACCTCCTACTACCCCAACTACTACTATTCCTACTACACCTCCTACTACCCCAACTACTACACCTCCTACTACCGGAACCTACACCTCCTACTACACTTTCCTACGCCAACTATTACTATTCCTACTGCACCTCCTACTACCCCAACTACTACTATACCCACCACACCTCCAACTATCCCAACTACTACTATTCCTACTACACCTCCTACTACCCCAACTACTACTATTCCTACTACACATCCAACTATCCAAACTACTATTATTCCTACTACACCTCCTACTACCCCAACTACTACACCTTCTACTACCCCAACTACTACTATTCCTACTACACCTCCTACTATCCCAACTACTACTATTCCTACTACACCTTCCAGAGACAACATCTTCCAGAGATCTCCATGGAGAAGAGAATTCATCACCGTTCAATCCTCAAGCTTTAATAGTCAGAGGAGAAAGACAATAATAATAAAAACAATGTTATTTTATATAGCGCCTTCAAAGGTAGATTTTCAAATTACTTTACAAAAATAACACAAGAAAACATACACCAGATAAAATTGTCTGAAGAAAAACATTTTTAAATTTGATTTGAATGAGTTTAGAGAAGATGACTTTCTGATGTTCTTTGGAAGCGATTTCCAGCGTTTTGGAGCATAGCAGGAGGAGGTTTTCTATCCCCATCAAGTGTAGGTGAAAAGGAGGGCACACAGAAGACCAGAATTTGAGGCGCAGAGGCTACAATTGGGGAGAGTAAGTTGATAAAAGTTCAGAGAAATAATGGGGTGGCAAGCCATGAAGAGCCTTATAGGTGAGCAAGAGGATCTTAAATTCTATGCAAAACCTGATGGGTGGCTAGTGCAAGGACTCCAGGATAGGGGTAGTATGGTCACTTGTACCAGAACCTAGTCAGGATTCTGGCTGAAGAATTTTATGTATATTGAAGTTGATTAATAGTGGATTGAGGTATACAGCGAGTAGAGCATTGAAATAGTCAAGTCAGTAGAACACAAATAACTCCTAGCACCATCATCTTATGACCTAAGCCTAATAGGGAAGACTACTGTATATAGCAATGTAGCTCTGCCCCCATAGGAGCCGCTGGTTATGTTGGGTCCTCTGTTCTTATCTTGACTTGGACAAAAGCCTTGGCACCATTGACACCTTAGCTTTACATGTTAGTAGAGGTAGATTAGTAGGATCACCCTGAAATTAGGCTTGAAACCTCATGGCAAATAGTAAGATAAATTGTCGAGCATTTATCAGATAAGATAAAGTTACATAGTTAGTCTGGCTGAAAAAAGACAAACGTCCATCCAGTTCAACCATGTTCCTGCTGGGAAAAAATTCCTTCCTGATCCCCCGAGAGGCAATCGGATATTCCCTGAATCAACTTTACCTATAAATTTTAGATCCAGTTATATTCTGTGTATCCAAGAAGAATCCAGGACTTTCCTACAGCAATCCACTGAGCTGGCCACAACCAACTCTTGAGGGAGTCTATTCCACATTCTCACAGCTCTTACTGTGAAGAAACCTTTCCGTGTTTGGAGATTACATTTCTTTTCCTCCAGATGTAAAGAGTGCCCCCTTGTCCTCTGTGATGACCTCAGGGGGAATGACTACACAGAGTTCACTATATGAACCACTGATGTATATATACATGGAGATCATATCCCCCCCCTTATGTATTATACATGGAGATCATATCCCCCCTTATGTATTATACATGGAGATCATATCCCCCTTATGTATTATACATGGAGATCATATCCCCCCTTATGTATTATACATGGTGATCATATCCCCCCTTATGTATTATACATGGAGATGATATCCCCTCTTATGTATTATACATGGAGATCATACCCCCCCTTATGTATTATACATGGAGATCATATCCCCCCTTATGTATTATACATGGAGATCATATCCCCCCTTATGTATTATACATGGAGATCATATCCCCCCTTATGTATTATACATGGAGATCATATCCCCCTTATGTATTATACATGGAGATCATATCCCCCCTTATGTATTATACATGGAGATCATATCCCCCTTATGTATTATACATGGAGATCATATCCCCCCTTATGTATTATACATGGAGATCATATCCCCCCTTATGTATTATACATGGAGATCATATCCCCCTTATGTATTATACATGGAGATCATATCCCCCCTTATGTATTATACATGGAGATCATATCCCCCCTTATGTATTATACATGGAGATCATATCCCCCCTTATGTATTATACATGGAGATCATATCCCCCTTATGTATTATACATGGAGATCATATCCCCCCTTATGTATTATACATGGAGATCATATCCCCCTTATGTATTATACATGGAGATCATATCCCCCCTTATGTATTATACATGGAGATCATATCCCCCCTTATGTATTATACATGGTGATCATATCCCCCCTTATGTATTATACATGGAGATGATATCCCCTCTTATGTATTATTACATGGAGATCATATCCCCCCCTTATGTATTATACATGGAGATCATATCCCCCTTATGTATTATACATGGAGATCATATCCCCCCTTATGTATTATACATGGAGATCATATCCCCCCTTATGTATTATACATGGTGATCATATCCCCCCTTATGTATTATACATGGAGATCATATCCCCCCTTATGTATTATACATGGAGATCATATCCCCCCTTATGTATTATACATGGGGATAATATCCCCCCCTTATGTATTATACATGGAGATCATATCCCCCTTATGTATTATACATGGAGATCATATCCCCCCTTATGTATTATACATGGAGATCATATCCCCCCTTATGTATTATACATGGAGATCATATCCCCCCTTATGTATTATACATGGAGATCATATCCCCCCTTATGTATTATACATGGTGATCATATCCCCCTTATGTATTATACATGGAGATCATATCCCCCCTTATGTATTATACATGGAGATCATATCCCCCTTATGTATTATACAGGGTGATCATACCCCCCCTTATGTATTATACATGGAGATCATATCCCTCCTTAATCTCCTCTTCTCAGTAGAGAATACATTCAGTTCCTCTAATCTTTCCTCATAGCTGATCTCCTCCATGCCTCGTATTAGTTTAGCTGCTCTTCTCTGTACTTCCTCCAGTTCCCCAATGTTCTTTTTGTGAATTGAAGTCCAAAACTGAACTGCATATTCCAGATGAGGTCTTGCTAATGATTTGTACCGGGGGGGGGGGGGGGGTGATATCTCTCTCTCTGGAGTCTATACCTCTCCTAATACAAGAGAGGATTTTGCTCGCTTTAGAACCCGCAGCTTAGCATTGCTGCCATTATTATGCTTGTGATCTACCAGAACCCCCAGATCCTTCTCCTCCATTGATTCCCCCAGTTGTACCCCCCTAGTATGTATGATGCATATTATTAGCCCCAAAGTGCAGAACCTTACATTTATCAACATTAAACCTCATTTGCACATAGTTGCCCAATTACACAGAGCATTGAGGTCGGCTTGTAAATTGGAGACATCCTGTAAGGACGTTATTCCACGGCACAGCTTGGTGTCATCTGCAAAGACTGAAATGGGATTTGCAGTATCAGACCCCATATTGTTTATAAGTATATTAAAATGTAAGGGTCCCAACACTGAACCTTGGGGTACCCCACTAATAACACTGAACCCCCCACTAATGGGGTACCCCACTGATGACCCCAGACCATTTAGAGTATGAATCATTAACCACTACTCTCTGAATATAATCTTTTAGCCAGTTTTCTATCCATTTACTTACAGATTTTTCCAAGCCCGTAGCCTTTACCTTACACATTAGCTGTGTGTGGGGAACTGTGTCAAACGTTTTTGCAAAATCCAAGTATACCACGTCCACTGCCACCCTTCTGTCCAAGTATACCACGTCCACCACCACCCCTCTGTCCAAGTATACCACGTCCACCACCACCCCTCTGTCCAAGTATACCACATCCACCCCTCTGTCCACGTATACCACATCCACCGCCTCCCCTCTGTCCAAGTATACCACGTCCACAGCCACCCCTCTGTCCATGTATACCACATCCACAGCCACCCCTCTGTCCAAGTATACCGTCCACGTCCACCGCCACCCCTCTGTCCAAGTATATTACGTCCACCACCACCCCTTTGTCTAAGTATACCGCGTCCCCCGCCACTCCTCTGTCCAAGTATATTACGTCCACCGCCACCCCCCTCTGTCCAAGTATACCACGTCCACCACCACCCCTCTGTCCAAGTATACCACGTCCACCGCCACCCCTCTGTCCAAGTATACCGCGTCCACCGCCACCCCTTTGTCTAAGTATACCACGTCCACCGCCACCCCTCTGTCCAAGTATACCACGTCCACTGCCACCCCTCTGTCCAAGGTCTTGCTCACCCCCTCATAAAAATAAATCAGATTTGTTTGACAGTTTCTGCTTTCATGGTTCCATGCTGTCTGTTGCTTAAAATATTTTTTCCCAGTAAGAACTCCTCTCTGTGGTCTTTTATTAAACTCTCCATTACCTTCCCAACTATAGAAGTTGCACTAACAGGTCTATAATTACTTGGGAAAGATTTTGACCCCTTTTTAAATATTGGCACCACATTGGCCTTACGCCAATCCAGTGGTACTATGCCAGTCATTAAAGAGTCCCTAAAAATGAGAAACAATGGCTGTGAGATGACAGAGCTCAATTCTTTAAGGCCCCGTGGGTGTATGCCATCCGGTCCAGGGGCTTTATTCACCTTTATTCTGTCTAAATATTTCTGGATCATATCAATTGTGAGCCAATGTGGATCATCTGGGGCTGTGTCAGTACCACGCCCATTATGGACAAGAGCTCCCCCATGCTCCTTTGTATACACAGAGCTGAAGAAGGTATTAAATAAATTGGGGCCTTCTCTTTGTCCCCAGTCACCCCCTCTAGATTATTTTGTAAAGGGCCTACATGCTGGGACCGGACATTTTTACTATTAATATATTTGAAGAATCTTTTGGGGTTGGTCCTGCTATCTTTTGCAATCGGTCTTTCGTTTTCAATTTTTGCGCCTTTATTTCCTTCTTGCATATTCTGTTATATTCATTGTACTATTTAAGTGATATCGTTCCTCCACTTTTATATATTAAGTGTAACAATAGAACATTTAGCAGTATGAACAATACTCTGGAGATTAATTTGAGGCATTTAAAGCACCGTTTTATAATTCAAACCAGACCAGCATAACTCTTCCCACTTATTGAGTGGCAGAAAAGCAAAAAAAAAAAAAAAAACAGGTACCAAATCAGTTAATGGCTAGGTTGCTAATGGTTCTTAGAATGAGAGCTAAGCCTAGGCTTTTGTAAAAGGGGGCTGGCAATATTCTCAAAGCAGCATCCAGCAGCTAGTGAGCAATATTCAGTCCTTAATTTTAGTCTTCTGTTGGCTATGCTGAGGCCCTTGAAGATGTTGGTGTGCTTAACCTCTTGGAAGCAGCCGAACGCAAATGTGCAGCCTCCCGACATCTGGGCTTAGATGCCGAGTGGCCACACATTTGCGTTCTATTAAAAAAAACATGTGCTGAGAGCGTGTGCTCCAAGCTAACACATTCGGTACTCACAGAAAGGTCCCGATCTCATCTTGCGATCGGGACCTTTTCCGATCATGTGACTGCCATGACAGCGAATCACGGCGGTCACATGACCCTAAACCCTCACCCTGCCTCCCGTCTTCTGGAACCCTTAAAGGGCCGGGGGACGCATGCCTGCTACCCATGCTTGGGGTGCCATTAACATTTAATTACGCTAAAAGTGTAATGCGCGTTTGCAGTGCATTTCCAAAACGTGCGGCAAAGCGTGTATTTTCTGTGCAGCTTGCGTTTGGAAACACACAGATGTGAATGGAGCCTCATTGTTCTTGTGTAAACGCACCAATTTCACTTTCGGGCGCGATACACACGTAGTGTAGTGAGAGCGCATTGTTTTTGGCTCATTTTTCCCGCAATATGCATAGTGGCAAAGTACCTCCTGGGACATTTTGGTGTGTTGCGGTTTGCACGTTTTTTATGATGAGTTTTGCTGTGTTTGTCGCTCGTTTTTTTCACATGGTAAAGTGTCTGTTTGGCCTGTTTTCAATACTAAAGCTCTGCTCCACATCGGCTGGTTTATCCACATAGGCCTCCCAACCATCCCGATTCACCAGGACTGTCCCAGGATTTGATGTAAGTCCCGGGGTCCTGGGGAATCAAGGCTTAGTCCCGGCACTTGGCTCCAGTGACTTGCCCGGTAGGGGCACTCTAGTTCGGGCACCAGTGACACCGGCCCCGTGGCTTGTGCGGAGTGTCTGGGGTCCCACACACCACAAGTATATCTCTGTATGGCGGCCAGCATCTCTCACCGCCATCTACCTCTCACACATACACAGCACAGAGCGGCTGAATCCACCTCCTCCTCCTTGTCTGTGATGTTCTCCTGTACATAGACACGAGGAGAGGGGTGAGGAGGAGGAACACCGCTCTGCCTGAGCTGCACTGATCTGAGGTCTTGTAGTAAATACAGGGGAGAGGACTTGTGCTGGGGGGGTTGGATATGAAATCAGCGCAAGTCCTCTCTCCTTCTAAAGTGCCCCCTAGTACATATCCTCTCCCTCCCCCCCAAATCAAAGAGGTTTTGGCTGCCCCAGAGGGGACAATCCTGGCATCTGAGACCTCGGGTACCCAACAACAGATGCGGGGAAATTGCCCCAGGTGCCCAATCTAGCGCCGCTCTGCCAGGAAAGTTAGTGGAGCCCAGTGGCAGAATTCATTCCGGCATTTGGTCCTTGTTGGGCTCCAGGACACACCATGACTGGCTCACACCATGATTCAGAAAGGAACAGCCTGTGCGTTCCTCTGCGATTCACATGCAATCCAGGCACAGTGCTATTTCAGCTCATTCATTTGAATGCATACATTACTTTATAAAATGCTCAGCAATCAGATCACATGGTATTACTGTGCACATACAATCTGGAACAGGCAAACACTGTGCTTGTGACTAGTATTTGGGGTGTCATTGGGTTAACATTGACACCCGCTGCAGATTGCAATTGCAGTGAGCTTTGAATGTAAATGACATGGAATGCGGGTTTCCTGCACCCTGTCCTGATGTGAACGGGTCCTTAGTCCGGATTTGGGGGATTTTGTTCATATCTTGGAAGGTCCCACCAAAACTGGGTCAGTCAGGAAGTATTGATCTATTTTAGAGGGAGAGAGAATTTGTGTTTTTAGGGGTTGTACTGGGAGGGGGAATATGGGTGGAAGGATTTGTGATAGAACTGGCAAGAGGACAGGTGCTGGCATAGGGTATTTGGGGGAAAGGGTGCTGGAGAGGATGGGGGGGGGTATTTTATCAAGGATGGGGGGGGGTTACTGGAAGGGAGGACGTGGAGGAGAAGATCTGTGCTGAAAGTTGGGAGAGGGTTTTTGCTGGGAGGGAAATTTGGAGATGGAGAGTTTTGATGAGGGGGAGGAGGATTTGTACTAGAATTGAGGGGTGGGGTGTCTTTGTTCTGGAAGTGGGGAGAGGATTTGTGCTGGGAGGGGATTTGAGGGTGGTGTATTTGTGCTGGGAGGGGGTATTTGGGGGAGATCATTTGAGCTAGAAGTGAGGAAAGGATTTACGTTGGGAGGAGGAGGATCTGTGATAGAAGGATTTTGGAGGGAGGAACTTGAAGCAGGGAGAGAATTTTTGCTGGGAGAAGAAAGTTGGTATGCTTGTTGTGCTGGGAAGGGGGGCTTGTGGGAAAGAGGATTTGTGCTGGGGGGATTTGGAGAGGGGGAATTGGGTCAGAGAGTATTTGTACTGGAATGGAGGGTTGTACTGGTGGGGGGATTTGTGGGGGTGTAAGAGGATTTATTCTGAGAATGGTACTGGGGAGGAGGATTTGTGCTGTGAGGGGGAACTGAGGGGTGTGGGGGATAAGTGCTAGAACAGGGAAGAAGAGGGAATTGTGCTGGAACTGGGGATTTGGGGAGGGTGGAGAAAGTCTTATGCTGAGAAAGGGGGAAGAATATTTATGTTGGGGGAGGGGGGATTTGCATGTGAGGATCTGTTCTGGGAGACGGAGAGAGGATTTTTACTTGGGGGGGGGGGGGGGATTTGTACTTGGGGGTTGAGTGAAAATTAGTGCTCTTTTTGATTGTACTCCTGACTCTTACTATGCATTACACATTCCTGTCCCCTGCATTCTGTGCATAACACTGCTGACCCCTGCATTCTGTACATTTCATACTCCCAGCCCCTGCATTCTGTACATTTCATACTCCCAGCCCCTGCATTCTGTACATTTCATACTCCCGGCCCCTGCATTCTGTACATTTCATACCCCAGCCCCTGCATTCTGTACATTTCATACTCCCAGCCCCTGCATTCTGTACATTTCATATTCCCAGCCCCTGCATTCTGTACATTTCATACTCCCGCCCCTGCATTCTGTACATTTCATACTCCTGTCCCCTGCATTCTGTGCATAAGCCTGTTCTCTGCATTCAGTGCATTATGTACCCCTGGACTGTGCTCTGTGTGTCATGTACTCCTAAACCCAGAACTGACTATAGCCCTTTGTGCGTTACATACTCCTGATCCTTGAACACATTGCATTACACACCTGGACCCCTGCAGTCTGTGTCATGTATCCTAAACCCCACACTGACTGTGCATTGGACATCCCCAACCCCTGTGCTCTGCCTTACACACTCCTGCACATCATATATACTATATTGCACATTACATACTTCTCACCAAAGTGTTCATTGTCTCAACAGCTGTTGGTTGCTATGCAATCCCTGACTATTTTATTGAATTTCTTCTTTAAGTTGTAAGCCGTGTACTGGGCTGGGCTCCCCAGGATACAGTGAAGTCACGAACGAAGAAAGCAACCCCAACACCAGCTTTTGTCACAACAGAATCTTACTTAGATGTGGCAAATAAACACAACCCAAATGCTGGAATATACAATAAATTTACATACACCCAGCCCAAAGGCTGAGACCCTTGTGCTGCACAGCACGGCGCCTTCTGATGGATGAAGGTAGAAGGTGTAGTAATTTACCTACTGGGGGGCACAACTAAGCTGCCACACCTTACCTGTTATCACCCTACAGAGCAGGAATCAGTGTATGGGTGTACGGTATGGGCTAGCCTGCGGTGCAGCACAACAGCTTACAATCTTACACAAATCTACAGTATTCCCCCTCCCATAACAGGTCCTGTAGCACGTGGCTGAGTATTCCTTCTGAGCAAAACGCCAGTCTGGCTTGAGTTTGTAGATTTTTATCAGCTCTCCAATGTGAAATGTCACTTTAAGTTGTGGAGTCCTTCCAATGATCAGTAACAACACTTGTGGCCTGAAACAGAGACCCTAACTAACTAACTATAGGCCTGTCTCAGTCCTATAGGTGCCAACACTGAAATGAGGTGCGTGCACGATCTTACAGACCCGGGTCTGCTTTGTATCCACTGCTGACTCTGAACAGAACAAATGTCTCTCCACTAAGCATGCAATATTCTCAGCAATGTATGTTGCTTTGCTCCTCTGTCCTCATCAGCATTCCTGGCAGCAAATCTTCCTTTCTCTGAACAGGATCAGGGTCTTGGACAAGATCAGCTTCACTCAAGTGAATTTCTGATTACGGGGGCCGTCATATCAGCTTGATGGCAAAGGATTCTCAAAGTCACTCAGCCATCTTCTCTCTCTCAAGCATGGCTCTCTCCTCTTTTTTCCTGTTCAC